ATTCCATCGGGTCCTCGCCATCATTCCATCGGGTCCTCGCCATCATTCCATCCTCAGCCTCCATCTGGTCCTCGCCATCATTCCATCCGGTCCTCGCCATCATTCCATCCGGCCAGCCAATCAGAGCTTCCTAAACTTTGTTAGGATGATAATATTTCTGTTCTAACCAAACTAAAACCTCTAACCATCTAACATCGAACTAAAGCATCAAATCCATATTTTTCTTTTTATAACATTAAACACATAGATCAGCTTTATTAGAGACATTTTAGTTTATTTCAGGACCAGCTGACATGTTGATCTGGGGCCCAAAGCGGGGCCCGCCCCCACCTTTGGGAACCTCTGGATCAAAGCTCCATAAAAAGCAGATAAAGATGAAAATAGTTTAGAATAATGTTGAAGCAACTGGAGGCCTCATTAATTCAAGTCCGAGTCCGAGTCGTTCACTCAGGTTAGTTTCAAAGAACACAAACGCTCCATCATGAGAACATCAAGAATTATTTAACTAATTAACCTTAAAGAGAAGAAAATACCGAGACTGAACCGTTTTAGACCTTCGTTCATCATTTAATCCTTTAAATGCTGTTAATACGGTTTAATCTTTTTCCTGCAGTTTGAACCAGTATTTAGTAACTCGTTATTTAATTTTCTCTCCTTTCTTGCCTCTTTATTATATGGAAGCACGTTTTCCTTTTTTATTCCTAACAAAACTGCATCAAACATTTATCATAGAAGATGATCGTCTGCAAACATGATAAACGTCATAAATTAAACCGTTTGCTGGAACCTTCAGGGTCATAAATACGTCTGACGGGAAAACAGGCGGGACTTAGTGCAGCTCAAAGCATCCTGTTAGTTCAGGGAAGCAACCTGAAAGTTCTAGAAAGTAAAGGTTTGGTTAGAGACAGAGATTCTTTCCTCCAGGTTCTGATGGAGAAAGATGAACATTCAAGAACCAGTTTTAGAAACCATCCCAGGGTGTCAGAAGGTTTTGGAAAGTTTAAAGCTGGTTTCCTGGTGTGAGAAGAACCAGTTGAGCTGTTGTTCTGGAGGAGCAGAGGAGAGTTTAGAACATTAGGAGGAGACAGCAGGAGCAGCTTCCTTCTCCTCATGATTCGTCTGACATCAGAGAGGATTTCAAACATTAATAAAGAGCAGAAAGCAGGAAATGCTCTGCTGCTGCAGAGGAAACCACAAAACAAACAGCGCCTCATATTAGCAGAACTTTCTGCTCCTCAAAGCTCCAAAAACCTTCATCTGCCTCCTTTGTCTGAACTTTAATCACTGTTCAGAGCCCCCCCCCCCCCCCCGAGCAGCAGCACAGATGGCGACACACACAGACATTAAGAGGGTCAGATGGCTGGTGTTATCGCTCGGTTACTATCGCCACGGGAACCCAGCATCCCAGCAGGCTGGCAGCAGCCAATCAGGGACTCCCGTGAGGAGTCGGGTGTGAGATTGTCAGCATACCACCTTGTTACCCTGGAGAATGCCAGAGCTCTTGATCCTGGGAACAACTCTTCACACACTGGATTATCCGGCGGCTTTGTTGCTCCACGCGCCTCACATCCCTCCGCTCTGCTTCTGCACACATTAACCTGCAGAATCTGTTAGACTAACATTCATTCATTAAGAGCAGATATGAAGATGCTCAGCTTCTACTTCCTGTTACCAGCAGCAGCTCAGCTGCTGCAGAGTCTCTACCTCAATGATTCCCTTTTTATATTCATTATTTCATATTTACATCATAAGAATTCACCTTATTCTAAAGCAACCATGATTATTTAAACTAAAGAGACCGTTGCTCTAAATATAGCGTATCTAACGCTAGTGCTGTGTCAGGGCTTCTCGTTGCTGTTAGCCATTAGCGCTAATGGACCAAAACTTCTCAGAGCAGCAAAATATCATTTTTTTTATTCATTTATAACCTTTAGTACTAGAACTAGCCTGGTTAAATATGGTGCTCTGACCTGCTAACCATTGCTAAACATGCTAACAGTGCTACAGACCAAAGATAGCTGTTTGGTGAGGGGGGGCTGTCCAGTGGCTGTTGCTGTAATAAAGCATCCGAAGCAGCAGATGGCGCTGTTGGGAAGAACATTTTTAGATCAATAAAGACATCAACTAATCAGAGAAGCTAATCCAGGAGTTAACACTTTGGCTGCGTCCGACCGGCCGCTCTAACCCCTTAACATCACTACGGAGCGGGGACTCTATAGTGAACTTTATAGTGAACTTAGTGAGCTAACCGATCAGACAGATGATCACTGCTTTTTGCCCCGTTGGTCACGTAACTCCTCCTCCACCGCGCGGTGCCTGCGCCATCTATGTTATTTGTTGCTGCTGTGATGATGTTTTTGAGAGTAGTCTTGTTTTTGGGACTAGCCTCCTTTTTGAGACTAGCTTTGTTTTTGGGACTAGCCTTGTTTTTTGGGTCTAGCCTTGTTTTCGGGAATAGCCTTGTTTTTCGGGACTAGCCTTGTTTTTGAGAGTAGCCTTGTTTTTGGGACTAGACTTGTTTTCGGGACTAGCCTTGTTTTTGGGACTAGCCTTGTTTTTGAGACTAGCCTTGTTTTCGGGACTAGCCTTGTTTTTGGGACTAGCCTTGTTTTCGGGACTAGCCTTGTTTTTGAGACTAGCCTTGTTTTTGGGACTAGCCTCGTTTTTTGGGGCTAGCCTCGTTTTTTGGGGCTAGCCTCGTTTTTGGGGCAAGCTTTGTTTTCGGGACAAGCCTTGTTTTCGGGACTAGCCTTGTTTTCGTGGCTAGCTTTATTTTTGGGACTAGCTTTGTTTTTGGGACTAGCCTTGTTTTTTGGGGCTAGCCTCGTATTCAGGGCTAGCTTTATTTTTGGGACTAGCTTTGTTTTTGGGACTAGCCTTGTTTTTTGGGGCTAGCCTCGTATTCAGGGCTAGCT